TTTCCACTGTCATATATAAGAAATTGAAAGTTACAGAGGAGTAAAAGTTGCTTTGTTCATCTTAAATTTAATGATTTGACTGCCTTCTCTACCTGGCAATCTACATTTTGATTTAAAATAAATATAAGGTAGAAATAATTAAAATGTAAAAATGCTTGAAGTAATTTCATAAAACATAATATTTGTTAAGAGAACAAGTTATTTAAAGTTACTTATTTGTATTACTTATGTAAGAAATGAGTGTCAATAAGAGTTTGCAGCAGAGGAATTTGAAATAGCTGAACCATAAATGTAACTATTTGATGACATTGGTTACATTTTACTGCAGCATCGCCAGCTAAGAAACGGGGGCAATTTAATCCATATATAATTTGAAAAGAACAGGGATCTAAAAACAAGAATGCTTAAAAAAGTAAAAGGTATGCATATTACTACTTATCTGTATAATTTGTATTTTGGAGTGAGAACATACCATGAAATGCTTCCATATTCATCCATTAAAGCTAGTTTTATCTGAAAGGTCGGTGCTATCAAAAGACGGTTCTGATCTAGAATGTCTGGTTTATGTTAATATATATTACTAGGTAATGAAAAATGACGAAATAGAAAGATCTTCTGTTCTATTTCGTGTTGCTTGTTGTTATTCATTTTCCTTGGTGTCAAAAACTGGATCAACCTCTGTAACAGCATGACCTTTGCAGAGCAGTATATTCCATTTTCACCATTTGTGGAAATAAGTAGCATCACTTACCGGTATGCAGAATTGTTTGCTGCTTGATGGTAGCAGTCTCACTGAAATTAAGATGGATAATCATAGCTTGGGCAGAATGCAGAAATAGTTGCAGCTTCATGGAACCTCTTTCTGACATCTTTTCTTTTACTGAATAATACCTAAAGTAAATCTTTTAAGCCTTTGGAAAGCTGGTATGCTTACATGTCTGCTGAAGACAACAACAATATTCTCAGCTAGGAGTGTTCAAGTTTGTTTTAAGATATACTGACCAGAGAGCATAAACACAGCAAGATGTGTTGCTTTAGAAAATTAAAACTGCTTTAAATGTACCTGCCAACATGGCACATTAAAAATGAGGAAACCTGATTACACTTAAATGATCTGTTGAAGAACTATATAAGCAGCTGATCTCTCTATGTGCCATAAATATGACCAGCAATGGATCTTTGGCTTACCCTGTGTACTCCATGAACCTAACATGTTCTGAGCTTGCAGAAGAGAAAAAACACTTGCATTATATACCTAGATCAACAGCATTATTAGGACAGATCAGTCACGGAAGAGCAGTTCTCATTGCAACTCATCAGTAAGTCACCTGTAAATTCAAGGTTGGTGAAGTTATGTGAAAAGCAGTACCCTGGCAAGAAAAATACGTGCACTACAGTAAAGGAACTGATTCCCTCAAATAAATATATGGACTGCCAGGTGCTATACACTGTCATTTCTTAGAACAGAGCAGTGACTTAGCACTGTCATCATCTGAGTTATCTCCTTTAATTCAAGAGCAAGCAGATCCCAACTCTAATTGTGCTAAATCTGCTGAGAAAGGCATTCTTTTTAAATTGTTCTGATTAGCTTTGAGCAGAGTTCATACTGAAGCACTGAAATAAATACACATTTTCTTAATTATGTCTTTTACTCATTGCCATATTGTATTGGTTATTGTCATGTGCACAAGCACTTTTCTTAAGTGCTTCAAAAGTCCAGACTGTTGTGTAAAATGACAACTTCTTTAGGCAGAAATGACTGGAATGAGCAGTGCTCTGCAAAAAATATTTAGACGTTGTACAATAGCTTGAAATCCTCTTTTTCTTTTTTTTTTTTTTTTCCTGTAGGAAAAAGTAAGCCTTTTTGTATGTGCTCAGCTTTCATGGTGGAGACTTATTGCCATTCCATTCTTGGGACACATTTTATTCTGTGTAAGGATGTTAATCAATATCACTTACAGTGTTGATGAGTATGATGCAGACAATTTCTCAATGGATACTGGTATGTAACTGGACCCTACCAATTAATTTCCCATATATCACAAGATTTTTACAGAGGGGGAAAATAACTCTGCTCTGTTTGAATTATTGATCTACAGTGTCCATGAAAGACATTGAAGGCCAAATCTTAGTCTTAAAAAAAAAAAAAAAAAAAAAAAAAAAAAAACAAACACAAAAACCAGAAAACTGTTTCTGCTCACAAAATAAGATAGAATTTGTAGACTCAGAGGCAAAAGAACAAAATACTTGAAGATTATCTGTAAAATATAGAATTATGCTCTGAAAATGTTTAATGGAAGTAACTAACTTAAAGAGTCAGTTTTTCCGCTGTGCCACTTGAAGGATATTCTATATGAAATTAAATGTTTGTCTGGCTTTGCTTTTTCATTGCACTTATTTAAGATAACATAGTGGAAAAATAAAGGACCATTACTCATCTTGAGATACTCAGTATGGTTCCACTCCTCATAATATTATTTAATGTTCAAATATAAGTAGGAAGGAGGTAGAGATGGTTATTCTGTCTCAAAACAAACAAACAAACAAAAGCAGTTTCCTGAAGTTTTAGCTTTTATGTTGAGAAAATAAAACCAGAATGTTTTGTTTCAAACTCAGATCTAAGGTCTTCAAGTTGATTAGTTAACTGAGTATACTTAACACTGGATGATGTTTCCTAGCCGTGCCCAGGGTGTTGTTTGGGAATGCACTTGTCTGTGTGAGCAGAATTCTAAGGAGGATTATACACAGTGAAAACTCCCCTGTAAATAAAATTGTATTAAATGCTCCGAGATGAGAACAATTATGAAGATATAGCTTGATGAGGTGATTTGCATTTTAAGTCATGTTATGTACTGCATTTTAATACAGTTAAAATGACATGTTGTACATCAGCCCTGAACTGAACATTTTTGTTTGCTCAACACTTTTAAAATGAAGCATTTCAGCATAATTCAAACAATTGTCTTACCATATGAAAAGATTCTAAATTTTGTCTAAGCAAAGAACTATGTATGAGATATACATCTTACCATGGGCTGGAAATTTGAAGCTTGATTAACATTAGATTGAGAAAAAATTCTTGTTGAGATAGTCTGAGATTTAGTGATTAGGGTATCTGATTAAAATGCCTGTTGCAACATGCTTGTGTTTATACTTCTCGTTGGCATGCGGGGGAAGAAAAGTGCTGTTTAAGATCGAGACTAAGTGATGCATTTCTTTAGGCCCATGCATGAAAGGAGAAAATTTGTATGTTATGATGTTATGCTGGTGCTGAAAGTTCCCAGGAGTACATGGGACTTTACTCAGGTCTGTCCTTTGGGGTAATCTTAGGGGGATAAAAAGTTATTTCAATATAGAACCAATAGTCAAATTAGCCAGTTTAAATTATAGAATGTCCCCAAGATAATCACTTGGATGCCTCAAGTGACTATGCAGTTCCCATTGGATAATCGCTAGTGGTAAACTGTACACATCTTGTTAGAAGACTGTAAAGTACCTTTCAGCATGCACTGTTCAACCATGTAGTGCAGCAGATACGTACTCAGACCAGTAAAGTCTGAAAAGAGCAGAGAGACAGTGATAATTACTTAACATTATTAGAGTCACAGGTATTAGATCAACTACAGTTATAATTTCTTGCCTTTCTAAGCTGGAACAACTATACTTGAAATTGTCTAGAAAAGTAGCCTTGTTTAATTTGTCCCTGTCTTAATCACTAACTTAACGTGATCCATACAACAAGAATGAATATTCTGATTTGTAAATGTCACAACAAATGTATATTTTCAAAATAATGCTTTTTAATGAGAGCATAGCTTGTTCCAACACATTGCTAAATGTCAGCTACTCCAATCTCAAATGATGCAAATGAGCATCAGGCCACTGATTTCAGTGATGTTATGCTAATTGACATGGGCTTAGTAGTTTCATCCCATATATTCCATAACCAGAGGAAGAACACAGATTTGTGAATTTATTTTATTAACAGTATCTTCTAATTTGCTTTTCTTGCCAGATTTATGGGTAATAAGCTCATAAACCAGTATGAATTAAAATAAATGTAATTACTGAATACTACCTATGCATCTGCTGCTCAGAAGTTGTTTTAATTAATTACTCTGCTGCTTGCTCAGTGTGAATCTGCCAGATGCATTGTCATCTGTAAGCTTCCCTGTTTCTTGAATGAACAGCTTTGTGAGTGTTAAGTTTTAATAACTGTGTCCTGCAGCTCTATCCTAAATGAGTTTCAGCATATGAGCCAAGAAAAAGCTTCAGGCTCTGTACAACCTGGTTGGTGTCAGTAAATGATAATAGCATGAGCTCCAAGAACTAGGGACGTTACATGGTAATCACTAGTTTTGAAAACGCAGTGTGTCGTTCTTTATTTTGGTTGACAAAATATTGTGTTTTAATGGTGTTTTTAATATTTTCCTCTTTAGTTATCTTTCTGATGTGCACGTCTGGCACTTTTATGCAGCTGAATTCAAATCTGTGAAACACTGGTCATGTGGAGAGTTTAGTATCCTTGATGAGATTAAAATCAAGGATGGATCATAAGAAGTGAAAAATGCTACTCATCTGGAAAGATCAAAACGTTCTCTAGGGAACACCCTTGCTCTCCCTCAAGAACTAGTGCCCAAAATTCTAGCCTGGAAGGCATTGACAGCCAGGTACATTGCACACCAAGAAAATTACTGGAATGTACTATTGCTTACAGAGAGAAAACCGCAGAAATGAGTAGGAGGAATAATCCTACTTTAGAAAATACCAACTTTAAATACAATAACTACTATTTACATGGGATAATTACATTTTTTTTTCTACTATAAATATGAGAACTTTGCATACAGAAATTGAATACTGGATATATGCTGAAACTTTTTTTATCATCTGTTTGCTGTAAAAATACTGTAATTAGAGATTTGAACACCATAAATCTTTGCAGAGGTGGTTTTTTTTTTCTTTTTTCATGAATTTTGTATTCACAGAATCATAGAATTGTAGGGGCTGGAAAGGACCTCCAGAGATAAAATCCAACTTCCCTGCAAGGCTCCCTACAGCAAGCTGCTCAGGTAGGCATCCAGGTGGGTCTTGAATATATCCATAGGAGAATCCACAACCCCACTGGCATGTATATTATTATTACAAAAATTCATGAATGGTTTTAGTGCTTACCATCATGTCTAAGTTAAAATGTGCCAGAAGATAATCCTGCCTACATTTCACCTGGGGAAAAAATAATTCCATTCATTCAGAGGGTTTACTATAAATCCTGTAGATTTTCCTCTAAGGATTCAACCTACATGAGCCTTCTCCAAGCATCTTCCCAATTATTTGGGTCAGAATTTCATCATAGCTTGTTTAAATGTTCAATTCCAAGTCAAATTTTGAAACAAAAAAGAATCTGAGCTATAACTGAAACTGAAATTAGCAGGTGCTAAAAATGTTCATGATTAGATCTTAGATATTCAGCACTCAAAATCCGGCTTCGTTTCTAAAGGCTTTTGCTTTATTTTTGTTATCAGCTGGTCATAAAGCAAATGTGACAGTTTCACCTGCCTTTGCTTCTGAGGAACTTATTCTACAGTATGAAATATTCTTAAAACATATTGTAATAGTGTTAATTACTACTTTGCACCTAGTATGGGCAAATACTCGTCTGATAATATATCTTCTGTTTCTCACTGTCCATTGTGCTAATGCTTTATATCACATCAGTAGATTGCAGATTTAGGCTTTAGGCTCAGGAGTTAGTTCACTTGCGATCAGAGTGACAGGGTTAAAGATAGGTATGTTTTCAAGATGTGATCAGAGTGCTCAGGGGATTATAGAGTTCTCTGTACATGTAATTTAGTGTATAAAATATTCACTGATATCACTATTGATATTCACTTATGTCACTATTGATTATATTTTACATAACATTACCATGCATTACAGATTGACTTTCTGTGTCATGGATGTTTTCAGTGAGACTATGTGCTCCTTGATCTCTAATCATGTAAGTGAGGAAGGACATCCTAGACATCTTACTATTAGGGTAACATGAAAAAATTTCTCTTATATTCAAGTGTATGAAAACACAACATTGAAATATTTTTAAGTTAAATAAGCTAGTGTATATCTTAGAGGTATATGGGGTCTAGGCTTAGTTTCATCTTTGCATTAGGAGCTGAAGAGGATTGCTCTGTTCAGAGGCAGTCAACTACATACCAGCTCATACTCACGCTGCCTTTCATTGAAAGCCTTTTATTTTGCAGTTTTTGTGCATTAAAATAAAGATCATATGATGTGGGTAATAACACACATAGATTTTAGTCATAGAACACTCTATTTGGGATCACAGGCATTACCAGGATTTGCTACCAATCTAGTGTTATTTAATACCTTTGCTGAAAATCCATGAAGAAGAGTTTACACACTCTAGCTTGTTGATTTTTTTTCTATTAGTATTTTTTTTTTGAATATAATTAAAAAATTGAGTGTATCTGTAATACTTTCAGAGAAGAAAGGTTCTGTGAGAAGCTTGCTGTCTGCAGGTCCAGTATAATAGCTGGAACAAGCTGTCATTGTAAAACCCTCTTTGTAAGGAAAAACTGCAGAGGACTTTAATTTTAAGTAGTATGGATTCAAACTTATTGTGAAGTATGTTAGAACACCTACAAAATAACTTTTTGTGCTTTGGCTCCTTGTTTGCACAAATATTTGGTGATATACTTAGTTCTTCCCACTAGTTTAGTTCTTTCTACTTTTCATTTTGAAACTGTCTTTCACAATGCATCCTGACTTACTGAGGATGCACTTTTGCAAGGTGTTTTCTGTCAAAGTAAGTTGAAGATATAACTGGAGTCCTCTTTGTCATTCCTTTCCCAAAACCCTTAAAGGAAATAACAGATCATTTCTGCTTAATTGCAGCTGTAGCACACTGCTTATAGGAAAAAACAACAAAACAAACGAACAAAATCCAATTGTGTATGTATATATAAAAGAATTAGGACATAAATATGTACTTGAAGATTCACTTTGATCAATTCAGTTGCATGAGAAAAAATGCAAATGTAAAACAGTCACTCAAAAAATGTTTCTCATGCATTAGCCTAATGAGAAAACTATAAATACCTTATATCTCCTGAAGCAGGACTGTGAATCACAACCTGTAATAGACTAGAGAGCAGAAATTATGGAAAGCACTTTTGCCTAAGATTTGCTGTGAAGATGGTTGTTCTTGGAGACCATTGTCTTAAAGAAATTCAAAGCTTCTATTTTCTCAAGGGCCATTTCTTCCTGTCCCTGAGTTTTCTTATTCTGGCATTCTAATTCCACTTAATTGCCTTTCATTTACCCAGCAGAGAAAGAAGAGGTGATGCAGGCTTTTTGAATTATCTGTCAGAGGTGGAACTGAACAGAGTGTCTGAACTGGAAATGGAGGGTTTTTTGCCCATTCCAAGTTCAACTATATGGACATGAAACCAGATTTGGAGCCATGTTAATATTTGTCACTAGAGCATGATTGGATCCTTGAAGAACCGACGAAATACCATTCCAGTTTAGGTTAGGGAAGCTTAACAGCTGCAGTGCCAAATGCTGCCATGGAACTGTTTTCAAGAGATTATCCTGGTTAGAGCTTGTACAGGAAGACAAGCGTGCCCAGTAGTATTCCTTTTTGGTGGCAATTAAGGAAAACAAGACTGCTCTGAAGTAGATCTAAAGGCAACCGCTTCACGTAAGTCTTTTTGGCATGCCGAAGAACTGATTACTCTCACATCCTTCAAGCACATGATGTTTACCAGTAACTGTGAATTTCCATGGTCTTGTAGCCTCCATCCTCTAGTATTTTCTGGGAGTAGAAAGGGCAGTCATTTACTATAACTGGGCATGAAAGATTCTGAGGAAGAGGTGTGCCCAGAAGGATCAATGGGACTCAGTGATTGGGAATGTTCAACAACGAAGTGAAGCAGCCTTGCAGGGAGCAAGGAAGATGCAAAAACTGTGGTACAGCAGACAAGATGTAGTCCTGTCTCGTAACCACTGATAGGCTGGGTGGCAGACCGTACAGGAATTGCTACTGCTGAGTAAGTTCTTGAGGGGTTATTGTACTGGTAGCATGCAGCAAGGACACAGAAGTAGGAATGCAGCTGATTCTGAGCAAATTAATTTTTAATTTGGCCAAACATTCATTTTTAATTCAGTTATTGTGACCTGGAGCACAGATATTTTCAAGCCATGAGTTGCTGAAGAGAATGTAAAAATTACCCTTTAAAAGCACTTGAGTTTTATTAAGCACTTGTGTTTAAGTACTTATTTGTGTTTTATGCTTTTTGCTTTTGGTACAATTATGCCATCAAATATTAGTTTATTAAGTCTTTTTTATTTCTGGTATGCACTGCCAGCACTTTGTTAATTCAGGCAGGCTGCTTCCAATGCCTGTTCTTTGTCAGAATGTTTAGGGAGAGACAGCTTCTCTTAAACTCTGTATTTCACATTCTCTTAAATCCTCAGGACACTGGCTTTTCTGTCTGTCACATTCCCCAAATATGATCCACCTGGTGATGAGATATTCACTGGCAGACATAAGAGACTTATCTGCGGTAATTGGAGAAAATATTTTATGATGATTCTTTGATGTTTGTAGACAGTTCAAAGTTACTCCCATTTTAAACATGAATAAATGATGAAAAAAGTGAGGGAAGTGTCATGGATATGAAAAGATGTATCAGTTGAACAGCTGCTATTATATGCTAAATTTGCTCTTTCCATATCCTACTGCTTCCTTCCAATCAGCATGCTTATCGGCTTCTTGCTGAAGTTGAGCATTTGTCAGAATTTCATAAGTAAATGTCACTGTTGGATGCAGAAAGGTATGAACCGGAGTGCAGTCAAAGGAATCCATGAGTAAGTAGTGTCTGGTCTTAATCTGGTGAGGTATGCCCATTAATTTATCTGAGTTGAAATTCCGTCTCTGTGAGCAGAAAAATATTGCAACACTCTTTTATTAATTGCAAGTGTGTGAGATAAACGTCTTTCTGATGATTTTCCTTACCCTCTGCACATTAAAGGTCTTGTTTTCATCCTTTTCATGAGGACCCCATCCCACCTGACACTTCTAGTGTATATATAAGGGAAAAAGTTGTGTCAAAAATTTGTGAAGATATCCAAAGATCTGAGCTGCCCTCTCACGTATTTGTGGATGATCTTTTGCATGATGACTATGTGGAAGGAAGGAATCAATTAAGTGAGTCACTGCACATATAATCCAGGCATGGTAGAGCAAAATGAGGTTACCAGTTATGGTTTTCAGATAGCAGATACATCATGGAAGACCTACTCTGATATATAATTAGGAAATAAAAAGACTTTGGTGTGAAACTTATTAAGTTAGTAATTGAAACTCGCATAGGAAATTGAGAGAAAGAACTGGGTATGCATTACTCATGCATACTGGATACACAAAGGACTGAAACATACCAGATTGTTATGTAGTAAGTGGTAAATAAATTTCATTTAGTGCAATGTCTTTGATTTGAAATCCAGGCCATTGAAGTTAGGTTGTCATTTATAAGAAAGTTCCTGTGCTTGGAGGACTGGTAAATTTTTATCAAGCAATGTTTGTTGTTGTTTATCAGACTCTTCCTTACTTTTGCACTAATGTTTGTTTTCATTAACTTTATTTTATCTTTTCTAGCTTTCCATTCTACTAGTAATTGTGAACGTATTTCTTTCCTCTACATATTTGCTATTGGTATAATGATGACATGATCTGGAATGACTCTTGGAATATGGCCACTCATTATTTCTGTGAATATGATGGTCTCAAACGAGAAGAAATCTGGGGGTGGGGAGGACACAAAAACCTAGCTACTTCATCTCACTGCTCATAGGGATCAGATAGCCTGATGTCTTAGCTAGTGCTGGGCATTTATTTTGAGTCAATGACCCACTGAGCTATATCTAAGTAGGATTTAATACCCTTGCTTCTGCAGAGGAAAAAGAATCTGTCTCTGCCTCTCATCTCTTCCATGCGTGCCGGTGCCTGTTAGAGGAAGACATATGGCTGGGAACTGATTTGCTTTGGTATCATAAGTTTAAACAAAAAAAACAAAAAAAAACAAAAACAAACAAACAAACAAAAAAAAAACAACCAACCAAACAAACAAAAAAAAACAGAAAAGTAATGGTTTTGGACAGTGACTTAGATCAACTGTGAGGACACATCCACAAAATGGAGACCCCTGTGAAGAGAAACTTAATTTCTGTTGCCTACTGCACATCATGGCTGTGCTATCTATAGATTCAGGCTGGTTAGTTCAAATGGTCTGAGTGTCCCCACAATTGCATGGCTTACCTACCTCAGGAATAGTGCAAATTACTCATTATTTTTAGTTGTGCTTGGCCTCCTTTGTGATTTATGTCTGTTTTGTAGAAAGCTAGGGTGGAATGCTGCTGCTGCATGGCCTGGCTATTGGATGGCTGGCAGCACAGACCACCCTGGGCTGCACCAGTAAAGAAAACTTTTGGCTATTGTGACCTCTTTTTGGTAAATTCTCCCCCATTATCCTGGCAGAGTGTGCTTTTAGGTTTCAGTAAGTTCAAGATTTTTAATATTTATTTGACTGCTTTCCTATTAGAAAATAAGGAGGCAGTTTGTTTTCTAATATCTGTAAGGATCTCTTTATGTTGCGAGATCAACCTTCCTAAAATTAAGCACCATCTTTGCAAAGGGGGATGTGGAAAAAGTCAAAATTATGTAAAACTGTACTAGAACATAGAGTCAAACAACTTTGAGTTTGTGTTCATGCTACAGGGCTGTCCCAAGGCTGTAATTTAAAAGTGGCTCTGAGTTATATTTCTGTAATTAACAGCTCATCTTTGCTTGTTACTTTCCTTTTTGTAGGAAAGCCAAGTCTGGTAGGATGCTAACAATACAGAATGAGAAGGAGATGGCCAGCGGAATTAAAAATGAAATCCTGCCCACTGAAAGACACTTCCTGATTCTGGAAAGGAATAACACATCCTGAAGCCAAAGGAAGAGGATGAGCTCAGGAACAACTCTGAAGAAGGGACAGGGATAAATAAGGCAAGTGAGGTTGGTAACTGAAACTATAGAAAGCAGGTGAGAAGAATGGCAGAGGTATCTAAAACACTGCATTTCGGCCTTGGATAAGCAAAGAACTAACATATACATAATGATTATATATATATGTATTTCAGAGGAAATTTGTATATCTGCTAGATGTTTACACTTCAGCAACAGGATCAAATGACAGAGCAACAGATCTCTTTGCCCCCAATAATTAAAAAGTGTTCTAAAGTATGATTTTGAATCTTTGCTCATTATATATGTGCCAAATTCTTCAGTAACCACAAAATTGTGTAGGAGATGAGGAAATTCAAATTCCCATGAAGATAATAGTTTGCAGGTGTGGTCAAAGAGTAAAATGTGCAACAGCATATGCAAAATGATAATGTACAATATTCATAACTGGGTTAGTGTGACAAATTTGAAATAATACTGAAAGCAGACTGATATGGTAAAATAGTGTGGATAAGACTTATTGGCATACTCTGTCTGCTTGGTGCTTCATTGGAGTTTACGTCTTCATGCTATTGAAATGGAAAGCAGCTAGAAGTTAAAAGGGGAATATGGACTACCTTGGTTTTTCTATTTTTTTCTTTTTTTTTTTTTTCTGAAGTATTGGAAACTTTAAATCAAATACAATAGCACAGATTACAAAGCTTACATCTTCTCTATACTCAGTTTGATATGACAGACTGAATTTTCACAGAAACCCCTACAGTTATTTAAAACCAATCTACTGTTGAACATAATTGATATAACAAACACCATCCACAGGCTGTCACTCATCATTTCTGTGTAAGCAGCCAGAGACAAAGAAAGCATGATTTACAGCCAGGAAGCAGGCTGATTGATTGCTGGAATGGGTATGCTTGTTCTGGGCCAGAACCTCAGCTGTCATCCTGCCTTTTTCTGTTCTATTTGAGGGAGTTCCCCTAATTTGGAGAATTCAGGTGTTACGTGGAATTTGTGTGACAGGCACTGTGAAGGGTTACAGTGAAATTCTATGTTGTATTTTTCTTGGTGGAGCACCTTCTGTATGCTGTACAAGGGAGCTGGAGAAGCTGCTTCTCAACTGTCCCAGTTGAGAAGGGCCCTCAATGAAGGGCCCTCTATTTCAGCCTTAACTGACTCCACATAGGTGCAGCTCAGATGCAAGAGGGAGAGCCCAATGATTTCTGATTTTAGAACACAATCACCAATTAAAATGTTTTATATATTTACTAGGATTGCTAGAGGGATTAGCAGCTAATCTTTACTAATCTCAAGGACACACTGGGGTAAGAGTGATGCTTTAGTCATATTTCCAGTTTCCTGAACCCCATGTGTGTTCTAAGGGTAATGAATTTTCTTATTTGTGATTATTTGCAGCTGATGATTGTATACATGAAAACTCATTGCATCAATTGATGTTACTGCCTTAACTGCTCAGTACAAGTGTTCTTTCAGAAATAATTTTTGCTTTGCATGCCAGTGAAATTTTGGTTGATTTCAGACTTGTTCCAATTCAATGGACTTTGCTTATATAAATACTGTGTTTTGACTACTTAAACCAACATAACTCATTTTGAGTAAAATAAATTGTAGAGTGATTGCCTCAGAAAGGCTGATCAGCAGATGGAACTGAGAAGTGTCTTCCAACTGATGTCATCTGGGAGTGTTAAGGTTTTTAACTAGTGCATATGTCAAAAGAATGTGTGTACACTAGCTTGTTAAGCCTTCTGGAGCATTCACTCTCATCTGGTCATCTGCACAATGAGAACTATGGGCCTCTGGTTGGGATTCAAAGCCTTTCTCTAACAAATGAAGGTAAACAATGTGGTTCCAATCATCAAGGGAAAGACTGTATGTGGTTATTTATTTCATTGTCTCCCCTTTTATGTTAACTTCCATCTACACATAAGACAAAGAGGTCATTGCCAAATTGTGCAGAAAAACATTCAGTGGATCAGATCTATTAACTAGAACTGGAAGAAAGTGAGAGAGCTAAATAACATGGAACAGTTGCAAAACAAGTACATAGAAAAGGAATTTTAGTTTAAACAAAGCAGGAATATGTATTTAAGAGATGTTATGATTTTTTTTGTTTCTTTTTAGTTAGTTGGATTTTGTTCTTGTATTTTCAGGGAGGGCTATGTGCTTAAGAACCTCACTTTCAATGCTACTAATCCCTTTCAACTTAATAAAACTGCTTTGCTAATCGGTGAAAGCAAAAGGAAAAAAAAAAGGGGGGGGGGATATTACATTCACTATATTACAATGAATGAGTGGATTATAAAACCAGTAGTCAGCACCATCTTACTGTGATAAGACCTACCATGGACACTGAAAAAGTGATCACGCTGTATGTGAGACACTGCTAAACTGGATTACTGAGAAAATCTTGTTCTGTCTTGTAGCCGACATTAGGATAACAAGTATACAGACAAGGGTTAATTTATTTAGATAACATGCAGACCAGAATGTCAGACCTTCTGTTTTATCTTTATTTTAACGGAACTGGAATAAGACATTTCTTTGGAAAACGAAGAAAAACATTGAATTTCTTTCAGAAGTTGAAAGCAGGGAGGGAGATTGCATGTCACTCTTGCAAATAGTTGTTTGAATGAGTGTCTTGACCATGGGGGGAAGAGGGGAAGTGAGGGGATGGGACAGTAAAGGGCAACTGATCTTGCTTATTATTAATTTAACAGAGTGGAGTTATTATTGGTGTTACTACTCAAGATAGGGCATGTAAATGAAATTTGCCTTTTGATATACAAAATTCAAGAGAAATTTTGTTGGCATTTTGATTCGCTTTTCTAGTAGCAATGCATACAAAGTCGTGCCTAAGAGATGACCATTTATTTTATATTGTTTTCTTTTGATTTTAATTTTTTTTTTTCTTTGTGTAACAAAGCTGAGATGTGAGGTTTCACACCTAGCCATAGTGAAAATGTTGACAGTTTGTTTACCCTTTGATAAATTTCGAAGGAACATCAACAGGAGCATTCTACTCAGGAAGAGTATCAGAGCTCCTGCAAAGCAAATGTTACAGTCCTTAAAAAACAGTTAAACAGAGGACATTAATCTCTTTCAGAAACAGAGAGCAGTTGATGGCCTGTTGCCTCTGAGGTTGCTGAAAAAAATCTGTCAATTCGTTACTGCAGCTTTTTCTCCATTAGTTATCTCAGGTAACAAGTCCTTTCAGTAGATGCATTTGTACTGAGAGGGTTAGAAATTCAGTTGTGTTGGCAAACTGAAACACAAAACAGTCGCTTGAGGTGACAAAACAGACTTTTTGGTAAGCAGACAGAGGTCTTCCAAGCCATCAAGAATGTGAAGCTGGAGGAGAAGTGAACTGATCTATCTAGGTCTCATCATGGAGTGAAACTACGTGAAAAAGGATTGAATTCACAGATCCTCAATACAAACACTAATCTCTACCAACCATGGAAGACAGTGTATTAATACTACTTTTTTTGTTTCCCCTGGGATTAGTAGAGAAAGCATTGATATTAGAATATTTTTATTTAGTATTCTCTCTTCTCTTTGGCTTTTGTTCCTTAATATGTCAGAATTTGTGTCTATATAACTTGATTCATAGTAGGAGAAACAAACTGTTTCTATGTATAGTTGTTTCTATTTCCCCAACATTCAGATTTTCTTCCCTTCCTTGCACTACAAACCAAATGAGCATCATAATTGCAGTGACTTCCAGAAATGTTAAGTTCTCCTACTGCATTACATCAGGTTATAAGAGTATAAAAAGAAATATAGAAGACAGATTAATCTTATTGCACAAGATTCATATGACTGCTTTAAGATACAGAAACAAAACCAAGACCTTAATGACGCTGGTCCTAATAATATCTTCATTCTAACAGACCGCAGAGAGCTATTGCTGAGGAGGGTCTGTGAGAGATGCACTTGTGTAAAGTTTTGCATTGTACATATTCATTACAATTCTTATTACCTCTCTGTGTTGAGGCAGTGACCCAGGCTTTATACTGTAGAAGAGGCTGGAGAGTGAAAGACAAATATAGCACAGATATTGGGTTGAGTGGTCAATCATATCACTCTTGGTTTACATTTGGCATCAACATATCATTCTAGTTCATGGTATAGCACTACTACCTTTCATAGCTCAGCTGAAAGTGAATTGAAACAATAACGAGGTGAAAGAGAATGAAGCTGCAGGTAGAAGTATGAGGAGGAGAAGAAAGTTATTTGTCTGCATCCTTAAATCTGTAGGCAAAAAGCTGCTATCATCCTGAATTGTCTAGGCCATTTCTATGAATTGCTCAGACAAACCTAATGATACATTTGGGATATGTATTTGCAACAGGTAACTGATAGTTTCAGAATATGGTGGAAATAGTGAGTTAAGGATGCTTTAAAGCAAAGCTTTGCATCATTTGACAGTGGAAGTCCCTCTAAGTTTCTATTTGCTCCTCCTCTAGTATATCTCTTCCACCTAATTGCATAAATCCTGATCCTTCTGCTTGTCTAAAGGCCAGGAAGCTTTAAGATTTCAGAGCACAGCATGGAGCACACCATATATTCCCATTTCACATTTGTATATTAGAATAGTATTTGAAGTTAATTTAGCATTTGATAAAATCTAATGTCTTTAAGGCTTAGCTTATTTACCTTTCTTTTTTTATATAACATTTTTCCTTTCTGAAATTCATTGAAATGTGTTTAACTCATCTGAAAATGGAATAGCAGAATGTTTTAGCTGAAACTGTTAAATCTTTTTTGGACAGAGTGTATTTCTTTATCACTATTAGTTCCAATGAAATACTTCACATTTAATGCAAATAATGATGTATTATGCAAGTAATAAAAAAGCTGAAATATGATGTGTTAATTATTGTAACAATAGTACTAAGGGATAATTTATTATTGTGTAATGGTCACAATAAAAAGAGGCAGAATATCTGCCATGGTAGTCTGTCACACTGTTCTCCAGCTCTTAGTAAAAAGAAAATGAAATAAGGAAGTGTTAAGTTATACTAGTAT